TCCTCTCGCCTCTGCCTCCCAAAGTGCTGGGATTACAGGCGTGAGCCACCATGCCTGGTTCGTGCTTACTCTTTCATGAAGAGAATTTCGAATCTTCCTTTTAAGGAAAAGAAGGAATTCTTTGTGTGCAGGACCGAGGGAGCTCAGGGGACGTGAACACAGGAGCTTATGTTACTCAACCCTCCCCACTTCTCGGTTTTAGTTGCTACAATGTGATTAAAGCCACAGGGAACCTCGGCTTCCCACCTGGACAGTGTGGGCGTCTCAGGGAGGGGCAGAGCAGACTTTTCCACTCTTCCCTTCTCTCTGCCAGCCGAGGGGCCTTTGGGCTTCCCTTCCACCCCTGGAGAAGCCCGAGTCTAGCCCAGCTGCTTCCAGGATATCCCTGCTTCCCTTCCTCCTGGGCGTGGCCCCTGCAAAGACACAGCCCAGCCAGGGAAGGCCGGCGTCCCCGTGAACCCGGCTCACTGCTGTGTCCCTCATTGCAGGTGGCACCCAAAGGGATGTCCCAGCTCATCACCATGGCCTGTGGCTCCTGCTCCAATGAAAACGCCTTCAAGACCGTCTTCATGTGGTACAGGGTGAGGTTTAGGGCACACGCACACAACATGCGGGCACACCCAGCACCCAGACACATGCTCACCCTCTGCCCAACTATTCCTCCAGGCCAGCCGGCACATCAGATGACAGTACCAGGGTTAAGATCCAGGGAGGGCCACCATGGATGAGGCTTCCCACGGGGATGAAGGTGCAAAGGACCGCATTTGGGGGACAGAGGTGGCAGGGGGGCCACCGGGAGAATCAGGCGGGCGGACTTCCAAGCCTCCTCCCAGCTTCAACCAGAGTAAGCCTGGCCTTCTCCATTTTGTGTATTAAGATTTAGACAGGGCTGGTCCTGGTGGCTCAACACCTGCCATCCCTGGACTTCGGGAGGCTAAGGCAGAAGGATTGCTTGAGCCTATAAGTTCAAGACCAACCTAGGCAACAGAGCAAGACCTCGTCACTACAGAAAATCAAAAAATTAGCTGGGCATGGTGGCACACATCTGTAGTCCCAGCTACTTGGGAGGCTGAGGCAGCCCACACAGTGTGAATACTCTATCTTCCTGTGCCACCATGCCCAGCCAATGTTTTTGATTTTCTGTAGTCAGCAACCACTAAGATCTGTTGAATTGGGTTATGTGACACCAACAGATCTTAGTGGTTGTTGATGGAACATCAATGCACCTTATATATTCAACCACTCATGTCATTCGTTGCAAGCATAATGAACAGCCTCACACTTCAACACAGACGTGTCAAGGTCAACACGTGAGATCAGCTCCTGAGGAAGCCTCCTGAGTGGTCCGGATGGAACATCCACGTGGGTGGGAAGCTGAGCCTGCCCACCCCAGGGTGCCTCTGAGAGTCTGTTCTGTTCTGTCTTTTCAGAGCAAGGAAAGGGGACAGAGGGGCTTCTCGAAGGAGGAGCTGGAGTCCTGCATGATCAACCAGGTAAGTGTGGTGGGCCCTACCTGGCGCATGTAGGGGAGCTGCCGTGCCCCTTGGGCTGGTGCTGGCAGGGGACCTCCCTCCTCAGGGGAATCCCCCATGCTCCCACTCTCAAGTCCGTTCCCTGGGCACCAAGGCCACGTGGGGGTCTCTGGCTGGCCTGGATAACTGTCTGAAGTGGACAAGTCTAAATGGTGTAAGTATATTCTCTAGAAGAATCTGACACGCCAGTGGGAGTGTGTGCGCAAGAATATTCACCCCACGGGCGTTTAGAGCAACAATAACCAGAAAAGACTGGAAACCACCAGTAGTGGAGAGCATTTAATTAAATGTAAATGTTCCAAGGAACCTTGCAGTTCACAGAAGTGCCAAGGAGGCCGCTATTGAGGGTCAGAGGTAGCAGGGGGGCCACAGGGAGAACAAATGGGTGGGCTTCCAAGCCCCCCACCCAGCTTCAACCAGAGCAGGCCTGGCCTCCTCTGTTTTGTATATTAAGTTTTAGGCAGGGCTGGGCACAGTGGCTTATGCCTGTAATCCCAGCACTTTTAGAGGCCAAGGCAGGAGGATTGCTTGAGCCTAGGAGTTCAAGACCAGCCCAGGCAACATAGCAAGACCCTATCTTTACAGAAAATCAAAAAATTAACTGGGTGTGGTGGCACACACCTATAGTCCCAGCTACTTGGGAGGCTGAGGCAGGAGGATCACTTGAGCCTAGGAGGTCATGGCTGCGGTGAGCCATGATGGTGCTACTGCACTCCAGCCTGGGTTACAGAGTGAAACCCTGTCTCACACACACAAAAAAAGTAAATGAAAAAAAAATTGTGGCCAGGTGCAGTGCCTCATGCCTGTAATCCCAGCACTTTGGGAGGCAGAAGCAAGAGGATTGCCTGAGCCCAGGAGTTCCAGACCAGCTTGGGCAACTTGGCGAGGCCTTGTCTCTACAATAAATCAAAAAAATTCGCCGGACGTGCTGGTGCGCGCTTGTGGTTCCAGCTACTTGGAATGCTGAGGCGGAAGGATCGCCTGCAACCAGCAGGTCGAGGCTGCAGTGGCTATGAGCGTGCCACTGCACTCTAGCCTGGGTGAAAATTTAATTGGTAGGCAAAATAAAACATCTGTGGACTGGATCTTGACCTCAGGATCCAGTGTGTGGCCTTGGCCTAGGAAGACCCCCCGTCCCTGACAGACTCCTGTGCTGCTTTGGGTTTGTAGGGACAACTCTGCAGGACCCCATCCTTAACAGCTGGGACTGACAACTGATGTTTCTTGGTTCTAGGCTCCCGGATGCCCCGACTACAGCATCCTCTCCTTCATGGGCGCCTTCCACGGGAGGACCATGGGTAAGGAGCAACCCATGTGACCCCAAGCTGGCATTTCAAGTAATCGTAACGGCAACAACAGTGATGGCCACCTTCGATAGAGCATTGCAGTGAACACAGGTGGTCTTGTTGGTTCCACACAGTTTCCTGCAGAGCAGGGACCATTAACCTCACTTTGCAGATGTGGAAACCAAGGCTCATGATGGGAAGGAACTCTGCAAGTCCGTTTGGTGACAGAGCCAGGATTTGAACCCTTGCTTCTCTATCTTCAAAGCCCTTGCTTAATCTGTGCAAAAGCAGCTGGGAGCAGGGGTTCACACCTGCACTCTGGGAGGCTGAGGCGGGAGGATTGCTTGAGCACAGGAATTGGAGACCAGCCTGGGCAACATAGCAAGACCTCATGTCTATAAAAAAGTCAAAAAATTAGCCAGGTGTAGTGGTGCATGCCTATAGTCCCACCTACTCAGGAGGCTAAGGTGGAAGGATCACTTGGGCTCAGGAGGTTGAGGCTTAGGCTGGACCCATGATTGTGCCACTGTACTCCAGGCTGGGTGACAGAGTGAGTTCCCCAACTCAAAAAAAAATCACAAAGCTATCACATACACGCACACACGCTCACAAAATAAGGGTTCACAGATTTCCATCAGCTCCAGGATAATGTAAGAACTGGGGTTCCACAGACAACAGCCCCCCATCCCAACCCCCCCGGACCTAGAAAGCCTGCACCCAAGCGCCCACATTTCCTTTCTAAAGACCGGTCTGCTTCTCCCCCATGCCAAGCGTCCTCTCTTCTGTTTTGCCGGACCAGGTTGCCTAGCGACCACGCACTCCAAAGCCATTCACAAGATCGACATCCCCTCCTTCGACTGGCCCATCGCACCGTTCCCACGGCTGAAATACCCTCTGGAGGAGTTTGTCAAAGAGAACCAGCAAGAGGAGGCCCGCTGTCTGGAAGAGGTAACACCAGGTCACCCGCACACTCCCCAGACGCCCATCCCGCGACTCCAGCCTGGAGTGACACCCCAAGACGGAGCCTAGGAGGAGAGCACAAGGGAAGGGCGGCCTGGGGGGAAGCAGGGACAGGGAGGCCTCCATGTCTTCAATGTTTCATAGTGGAAAAGGTTGTGAGACACTTGATTTCATTGCCCAGCAACCATCACCCCACTCTGCATCACTTGAATTTCTTTGGGGGCAAGCTCAGTGACTCTAAGAGAAGAGAAAATAGAATTGTTGAAAGAAAGCCGGGCTTGGTGGCTCAGCCTGTAATCCCGCGCTTTGGGAAGCTAAGGTGAGTGGATTGCCTGAGCCTGCGGGTTCGAGACCCACCTGGGCAACTTGGTGAGACCTCATCTCTACAATAAATTAAAAAATCAGCTGGGCATGGTAGTACATGCCTGTAATTCCGGCTACTTGGAAGGCTGAGGCGGAAGGATCGCCAGAGCCCAGCAGGTCGAGGCTGTGGTGGCTGGGAGCGGCCACTGCACTCCAGTCTGGACGACTGAGTGAGACCATAACTCAAAAAAAAAGGAACATAGAGTATCTCACAGGAAAGAACAATGCCACAGGATCCTTTAGTCTAAAGATTTTGACGCCTCTTGAGTCCTAGGGCTTATTGGAGGTTGCAGTGGGGAGACAGAACAGGCAGCCCTCCATTGCTCCATGCTTCCACTTCAGCCAAAATACCCCCTTTGATCCACTTCATGTACCGAGGCTCCACCAAAAACAGTAGAAGGATTCTATGGCTAGAAAAAGGATAGCTTACTCTTCAGGCTTGGGTCTGAGCTCCAGAAAGGCTGCTGATTCTCCTCTTAGGCACACCATCATTTTCAAACAGTTAGTATTGACTGAGCACCAACTGGGGGTCAAGCAAGGTGCTAGGTGCTGGGTATTCTGTAGCAACTAAAAGAGACAAGATAATGATGTCAAGTACAGCACTGCCCGATAGAAATATAATACAAGCCACGTTATAGCTTTTCTAGTAAATCACATTTGTAAGAGTACAAATAGGTGAAATTAATTTTAATCACATCTTATTGAACCAGATATATCCAAAATATTATCATGTCAACATATAGTTAGAAATTGTATTTATTTATCTATTTATTTCCCTTTCCTGCTTCCCCCCTCCAGTTAGGAATTTTAAATTATTAATTTGATGTTTTCAGGCTGGACACACTGGCTCACACCTGTAATCCCAGCGCTTTGGGAGACCCAGGTGAGAGGATTACCTGAGCCCAGGGTTTAGAGACCAGCCCAAGCAACCTGGCAAGACCTTGTCTCTATAATAAATCAAAAAATTAGCCAGGTGTGGTGGCACGCACCTGAAGTTCCAGTTACTTGGAAGGCTGAGGCAAAAGGATTGCCTGCAGTTGGTCAAGCTACAGCCAAGTGCCAAGCATCCACATGTGGCTCGTGGCATTGGAGGGCGTAGGGCAGTAGGAAAGTCTTGCACAGATAAACGGGAAAAGAACCATGCAATGACAAACTGCAGACGATGCTCTGAAAGCAAAGAATAGCACCTCAGAGCTTCCCAGGGGTGATGGGTGGAGACCAAGGCAAATCCCATCATCTAAGCCGAGGTTTTTTCCTTCTCCGTGCATAACAAAGATTTCACCTGTCAGTCTATTGGGCTGTGTGTCTTGGGAATTTTCAAATTATGTATAATTATGAAACTATTAATAAAGTATCACAATTGCTGTTCTTTCATTATCTAAAAAAATGACACCTACTTTGGAACAAGAGTTCAAGAAACATAACCACTTAGGGACAGTGAGGTGCTTTTCTTACTGCTCCATCACTGTTAACAGCTAAATTTTAAAAATTAATTTCACCTTTATTTTTTTTCTTCTCTTTTTTATTTTAAAGATGTAGGGTACAATTCAGGGTTAGGTATACAAATGTTCATTATGCAATTATCCTTGTTGATGAGGTGTGCCCCTACCTCCTCTGGCAGTTTCCCTCAACTGCCAATCCCAACCCCCTCTCCCCTGGCAGTTTCCTGCTACTGCCAATCCCTTTCTTATAGTATCATGATAATTGTTCAAGGACGCTCATGAGTGAGAACATATGGTACTCTGTTCTTTGTTTCTGTGATCACTGAGTATGATGGACTCTAAATCCATCCAAATTGCTGTGAAGTTCATATGTTTGTCCTTCTTTATGGCGGCATAATATTCCATTGTGTATATGTACAACATTTTTTTAATCCAGTCCAGCTTCAATGGGTGGCATGGTTGGTTCTATGTTTTTGCTATTGTGAATACAGCTGCAACAAAAATGCGTGTGCAAGTATCTTTTTGGAGAATGATTTGAGTTCCTCTGGGTATAGTCCCAATAGGGGAAGCTTCACCTTTATTAACGCATAATTGATACACCACAAAATACACCCTTAAAGTGTCAGTTCAATATGTTTCGATAAATAAATGCACCACCACCCCACCAAAGGTATCTCATCATCCTGGAAAGTTTCCTCTGGCCAGTCTGAGGAGTCAGTCTGCCCCCTCCTTCAGCCTCACTCCACAAAATCACTTATTGGATTTCCGTCACTGTAGATGAGTTTTACAACTGTTTTAAAAATAAAGACATATCTCAGATTCTGCCCCAAAGAACTCTGATACCAACAGTAACAGCAATAATACTATTACAACAGCAACAGTATAATATAGCAGTAATGACAGCAATGGTGGCAGATTATCTCATTCCATGCTCTCCAGACCCTCTGAGGTGGCTTCCGTGGGCACGCTCGGATTACAGATCGGGAAAGTGAGGCTTCCAGAGGCTCAGGGAGTCGTCCCCAGTTCCCCGTTTGTACCCCACAGGTGCCAGCACCAGTCTCAGCTAAGCTACGTCCCCACCCACACGTGTGGCCCCTGACGGATGCCTCACTCGCCCCAGGAAAACACAAACACTTTTTCGATACAAACTCAGGGGGCCCGCGGGACCCCGGATGCCCATCCACGGACTGGGGCCGAGAGCCTCTGCGAGCAGCTGTCGCTTTCCCCTTGGAAATGCAGGTGGAGGATCTGATTGTGAAATATCGGAAACAGAAGAAGACGGTGGCCGGGATCATCGTGGAGCCCATCCAGTCCGAGGGCGGAGACAACCACGCGTCTGACGACTTCTTTCGGAAGCTGAGAGACATCGCCAGGAAGGTCAGTGGGAGGGGCCGTGGGCGGGTGGGGCCTGGGTGGGCGGGGCCGTGGGGCTTTCTGGGCGGGCTTCCCAGGGCAAGGCGTCCGCCCCGCTTCTGCGCTGGAGTCTTGGTAAACAGCTTGGGGGAAGGATGGGCATTCTTCCCTAAAATCTTTTTTTTTAATGTTGTGTTCGTAATACCCGTACATATGTGTGGGTACACGTGAAAGTTTGTTGCATGCACACAGTGGGTGAGGATCCATCACCTCAAACGTTTAAATCTGCTCTTCTGGCTGTTTTGAAGTACACAATAACTGTAGTCGCCCTGTTGTGCCACTAAATGCTGGAGCTTATTCCTTCTTGCTAACTGCATTCTTATACCCATTAACCACCCCTTCCTTATCCTCCTCTTCACTATCCTTCCCAGCCTCTGGCAACTGTCATGCTGTTCCTGCCTCCATGAGAGCAACTATTTTTTTAGCTCCTACAAGAGTGAGAACCTGTGACATGTGCCTTTCTGTGTCTGGTTTATTTCACGTGACAGCCTCAATTCCATCCGTACTGCAGCACATGACAGATTTCCCCCTTTTTTACTGCTGAATAGTATTCCACCGTGTGTGCCCCACAGTTCCTTGATCTATTCGTGCGCTGATGGACACTTAGGCTGATCCCATATCTTGGCTGTTGTGACTAGTACTGTAAATAAACACAAGAGGCCAGGTGCGGTGGTTCATGCCTGTAATCCCAGCACTTTGGATTGCCAAGGTGAGAGGACTTCCTGAGTCCAGGGGTTCGAGACCAGCCTAGGCAATTTGGCAAGACCTCGTCTCTACAATCAATCAAAAAATTAACTGACAGCGTGGGCAACTTGGCGAGACCTCATCTCTACAATAAATAAAAAATTAGCCAGATAGGTGGCGGCGTGTGCCTGTAGTTCCAGCTACTTGGATGACTGAGGCAGAAGGATCGCCTGAGCTCAGCAGGTGGAGGCTGTGGTGGCCATGAGCATGCCACTGCACTCCAGCCTGTTTGACAGAGTGAAACTCCCACTCAAAAATAATAATAAAAAATAAACACAAGAGTGAAAACATCTCTTCAACATACTGATTTCCTTTCTTTTGGATATAATCTTATTGTAAAACCGGCCTCCCACCTGCCATATTAGTCTGTAACTTTCCCAATCAAGAGATTCCTGGAAGGACTTCAGTGTCCTTGTTTCTATTCTTTTCTTTTTTTGAGTCGGGGTCTCACTCTGTCACCTAAGCTGGAGTGCAATGACACGACCACAGCTCACTGCAGTCTTAGCCTCCTAGGCTTAGGCAATCCTTCTGCCTCAGCCTCCCAAGTAGCTGGGAATACAGGCTTGTACCACCACATCCAGCTAAATTTTTTTTTTTTTTAAGAGACAGAGTCTCACTATATTGCCTAGGCTGGTCCCCTTTCTTTCCAGAAACCCTGCCTCATCTTTCAGTCCGGTGTGGTTCATACTCAACCAACTTGGATGCGAAATGAACAAACTTTGGGTTAATATTGTGATTTTCTCTTAATGCTTGTGTATCCATAACTGGCACACATAATATTATAACCATGATTTTACAAATCAAGGTTATAGGATATAAGATGTCAAGGTTGACTTAACCTCAGCAACTGAGTTAGGAAGAGCCCTGGTGGTGAGCAGAACTGGGCAGCTGGGCTGGGAAGCACAGGCCAGGCGTCGCTGAAGGACTGGTTCTCTCTGACCAGGTGGAGGTTGAGACCTGGGCCTAACATTCCGTCCTGCTGGGGTGCAGGGAACGCTTGCTGTTCCCGTCTTATTGTTGATGCTGTTCCAGCTCAGCATCAGATATTAGATATGACTAAATGTTGGAACTGTTCTTCTCAAGTTCATGTCGCCGCCTCCAGCCCGAGAATAGGGGGCTGCTTTGCAGTGCAGAAAATAAGTCAATGCAGTTGGCGCCGGGCTTGGGGCGAGTGGGCTGCAGGGGTGGGTGTTCATCCCCACCCCTCTTGTCTTGGCCAGCATGGCTGCGCCTTCCTGGTGGATGAAGTCCAGACCGGGGGAGGCTGCACCGGCAAGTTCTGGGCCCATGAGCACTGGGGCCTGGACGACCCGGCCGATGTGATGACCTTCAGCAAGAAGATGATGACTGGGGGCTTCTTTCACAAAGAGGAGCTCAGGCCCAACGCGGTGAGTCGGCCCAACCCTGCCTCCAGACTGCTCCTTTCACCCCTGAGAAGCTGGGGGCCACCCGGCAGGCCACAGAGGTCCCCTGGGCCCAGCGCTTATCTGTGTGGCCACCCCTGCTCTCTCCGCAAGGCTGACTCTGTAGGCTTCCGGTGTCCATCTTCTCCTGACTTCTCTCTGTGTGTATATGACACATACATATTTTTCTGTGCACACAGAGAGATTGTTTATCTATAAATAATAATTAACAGCATACAAGCTGCTGCCCTGGACTGGGCATTTGCTCTGTGCCTGATCCAGTCCTCAATACTTCTCACATACTTTTAATCTTCACAACAAGCTAATCAAATAGGTGTTATTTTTAATCTCCACTTTACTAAGAAAAAATTGGGCACACAGAAGTTAAGAAGTTGTCCGAGGTCACACAGTCTATAAGTGAAAAGCCAGAATTCAAACCCAGAGCCCATGCCCTTAACTGTAACTATAGCCCATGCTATACTGCCATGTGTCATACAATTCACACATACACACACACACACACACACACACACACACACACACACACACACGGCCATCAGGGGCCAGAACGCTTCCTTCCACCATTCCTACATGTAGCTTCTACCCTCAAGGCTGCCTCATCATCCAGTGTGGCTCCTGGAGCCCCAGCCATCACATCTCAATTCTGGTCAGTAGGAAAGAAAGAGAAGGGAAGGAAAGAGTGGCCCCTGTCTGGTCTTTGGTAGCCTTCTCAGAAGCTCACAGACACTTCTGTTTCCAACATTTGACTAAGACCTAGTCACGTGACCACTCCACAGTAAGGGAAGCTGGAAGTGTGTTGCAGTGGGCCATACGGCCACCCTGGATAATTCATGGGGGGCTAGAGTGGGTGGCCTTTGTCCAGTCCCAACCTCACCGCTGTGAGCCAGATTTGCCCCGGACTAATCACTCAGCCTCTCAGAACCTCGGTGTTCTCCTCTATAAAATGAGGATTATGGGACTAGCCGTCTCACTCGCCCTGGGACGGAGGGGCTCCCCAGGGCACGGGCTGACTTGGCCTCCCTGGAGCGGCATCAACCCACAGGCTGTGGTCGTTGGAAGAACTCAGTGAGATTATGTGTGTTCTCACCCTGGTCTGTGGCAGATGCCCCGGGCTGGTCTCTCTTCTCCAAGAGAGGACAGGCGTGTTGGGGAAAGCAGCCCTTCCAGGGTGTGTCTGTGTGTGAACCCGCACCACCCCTTCCGCCTTCTAGCCTTACCGGATCTTCAACACCTGGCTGGGGGACCCGTCCAAGAACCTGCTGCTGGCCGAGGTCATCAACGTCATCAAGCGGGAGGACCTTCTGAACAACGCGGCCCATGCCGGGAAGGCCCTGCTCACAGGGCTGCTGGACCTCCAGGTACCCCCTGGGCCCGCCCCCGGCTATCCCAGGCACCCACACCCAAATCCATGGCTTCCCGCATCCCCAGGGCCACACATGAGTTCTTCAGCACGGCGTCACGCTTGCTATTCCAGCAATTCTTTTCTGAGCCAGGATCTTTCTCTGCTGCCCAGGCAGGAGTGCAGTGGCACGATCATAGCTCACTGTAGCCTGGAACTCCTAGGCTCAAGCCATCCTCCTGCCTCAGTCTCCTGAGTAGCTGGGACTGCAAGTGCAAGCTACCATGCCTGGCTTAACAATTTCTATTTATGGAAAGCCTATTAGGTGCCAATATAGTAACTGAGGTATGGAGGGCTTATTAACTTGCCTGGTTTGAACCTGATTCTCATGGACTTCAAACCCATGTTCTTTGCCAGTGTTCACCTCTCTGACATGATCAAGGACATTACTAATAATAACCATAAAAATTTCTATTTTTTTCTGTTTAAAAAAATTTATTTTAAAGATTTGGGATACAATTCACAGTTAAGTACATAAGTGGTCATCGTGCAGGTAGTGTGGGTACTCATTGATGTTATGGGCCCCCCTCCCCTGGTAGTGTCCTACTACTGCCAATCTCTTTCTTTTTTTTTTTTTTTGAGTTGGAGTCTCACTCTGTCACCCAGGCTGGAGTGCAGTGGCACACTCACAGCCCCGAACTGCTGGGCTCAGGCAATTCTTTCGCCTCAGCCTTCCAAATAGCTGGAACTACAGGTGCATGCTACCACACCCGGCTAATTTTTTTATTTTCTTGTAGAGACAAGGTCTCGCTAACCCCTGAGCTCAGGCAATCTTCTCTCCTCAGCCTCCCAAAGTGTTGGGATTACAGGCTTGAGCCATTGCACCTGGCCGCCAACCTCTTTCTTGTAGTATAATGATAAGTGTTCAGGGTCTGCTTATGAGAGAGAACATGTGGTACTCAGATCTGTGTTTCTGTGATAGGTCACTCAGTATTATAGACTCTAAATCCACCTGGGTTGCTGTGAAGTCCATGATTTTGTTTTTCTTTATGGCTGCATAATATTCCATCTTCTTGGGAATATACCTGGAGGAACTCAAATCACTCTATAAAAAACAATAACATGGCAACTCCCTCAGGTCCCCTCCCACTCTGGGAGCTTTTCTGTCCTCTCAATAAATTCTGCTTTTGGATTGGCAGTAGTGGGAAACTGCCAGGGGAGGGGGAGGACACACCCCATCAACAAGGGTACCTGCATAATGAACATTTGTATACTTAGCCCTGAATAAAATAGAAAAATAAAATAAAAGTTAAAAAATAAATAAATAAGACGGGCTCGGTGGCTCAGCCTGTAATCCCACGCCTTTGGGAGGCTGAGGTGAGTGGATTGCCTGAGCCCGCAGGTTCGAGACCTGCCTGGGCAGGAAGACCTCATCTCTACAATAAATCAAAAAATCAGCCGGGCGTGGTAGCACATGCCTGTAATTCCGGCTACTCGGAAGGCTGAGGCGGAGGATCGCCGGAGCCCAGCAGGTCGAGACTCCAACTCAAAAATTAAAAATAAATAAAAAAAAAATAAAATAAAGGCTGCTTTCTAAATTAAAAAAAACAGCAACTTCTATTGACAGAACTTGCTATATGCCAGCCATTGTATTAAGTATCTTATCTCACTTAATCCTTAGAATAGAGCTACCACAATTAGGGGAAATAAAAGCAGAACTCCCAGTTCAATTTGAATTTCAGAAGTCCAAAGGCCAGGAGCAAGTATAGGACTTGGTTCCCGATACAGAGCTGAGTCAGGAGTCCCAGAAAATGCTTCTCCCCCACCCCAGTAGGGCATCAGATTTAGAAAATCACAACACAGTTAAATTTGAGAAACAGAGACTAAATTTTTTGGTATCAGTATATCCCATGCAACAGTTGGGACATATTTATACCAAAAAAAATATTTGTTGTTTATCTGAAATTTCAAATTGAACCAGGCGTCCTGTATTTTATCTGGCAACCCTAACTCAGAAAATTTGAAATTAGGAAAATATGATTATCTTCATTTTCTAGGTGAGAAAATGGAGGCTTCAGAGGTGAGAGCTTTGCCTGAGCCCAGGCAGCAAAGCCTAGCCTGATTCCAAAGACTTGGAAGGAGCTAGAAGCCATGAAAAAAGTTCAGACTGGGCTGGGCACAGTGGCTCATATCCAGCAGTTTAGGAGGTGGAGGTGAGAAGACTGCCTGAACTCAGGGGTTCGAGACCAACCTGGGCAACATGGTGAGACCTCGTCTCTACAATAAATCAAAAGATTAGTCGAGTGTGGTGGCGCATGCCTGTGGTTCCAGCTACTTGCAAGGCTGAGGCAGAAGGATCACCTGAGCCCAACAGGTCGAGTTTGCAATGGCTGTGAGCGTGCCACTGCACTCCAGCCTGAGTGACAGAGTGAGACTCCAACTCAAAAAAAAAAAAAAGGAAAAGAAAGTTAAGACTGGCCAAGCATGGTGGTTTACGCCTGTAATCCCAGCACTTTGGGGGACTGAGGTGGAAGGATTACTTGAACCCAGGAGTTCAAGATCAGTCTGAGCAACACAATGAAACCTTATCTCTACACAAAATCAAATATATAGGTCTGGTGGTGCAGGCCTGTAGTTCCAGCTACTCAGGAGGCTGAGGCAGAAGGATCATCTGAGCCCAAGATGTCAAGACTGTGGTGAGCTGTGATCGTGTCACTGTACTCCAGCCCGGGCAACAAAATGAGACCCTGACTCAAGGAGAAAAAAAAAAAAAGCCAAGCCCCTCCAACTGGTACTGCTCTGGATGGAATCTAGAAATAGGCTTTTCTTGGACTGGATTGGAATTTAAGTGGGGGGCGGGGTCGGGGGCTTAGGGAAGGCTCAGCACATGCTGAACCCTCCCTTCCTGCCTGGGCCGTCACTGTCCTATGAGGGCAGAAGTGGCAGTTGGCATCTATTTCCTGGGAGACATCTGGGCCCTGCTTGGAGTAGTTTGTGCCGATCGTGGGCCATGAGGTGTGGGCCAGGCAGGCAGCTGGCCCTTCTGGGGCTGCACCTCATCTTGCTTCCTGCCGGGTCACATGGACTGTGAGCTGCCTTCCTCATGAGCCATCATCATGGGTGCCATGCCAGGCTCTGGAGATAAGGAGGGCAGGGCAGTGTTCACAGCTGGCACAGGGCCCAGAAGGGAACACAGAGAGGCCCACTGGGGAAGAGAGAAGCGTCCAGATGGATCTGGGATGTTCCAGGACAGGCCCGGGGGCAGGAGGACAAATGGAGGGTCACGGTCAGAGTGCAGGCCAGGCGGGGAGGGCAGTGTGGCACGGGAGAACAGAAAGGAGGCCGACTCGTGACTGACACCTGTAATCCCAGCACTGGGGGAGGCCAAAGCGGAAGGACCACTCAAGACCCGGAGGTCGAGGCTGCAGTAGCTATGACTGTACTACTACACGCAAGTCTGGGCGACAGAGCGAGACCCTGTCTCTAAGAACAAGAAGAGAGGGGCCTTGCAGGCCTGAGTCGGGTCATGAGCGCACAAGGCCCAGCCTCTGAGATGTCCCAATTCCTGCTCTGCCTCCTAAGTCATGAGGGCAGGTCCTGGGGCAGAAGGGGACTTCAAGGCCCAACTTAGGCAGCCAGCTCTGAGACAGGGTGGAGGCGGTGTTTCCCAGAAGGACTCCACACAAAGGCCATCCACAGCCAAGGGTTTCAGAGCACTAGGCTGGCCTCTGGCTCTTGGGAGCTGGCTGAGCAGACTGCAGGTCCCTAAGGCCCGAAGCCATCAGCAAGATGGATGGTGAAATGGAACAAGGGCTGTGTGCCGGCCCAGGGAGAAGGGAGGAGGCCGCCTGCATGATCTCGCTAGTTACAGGCACAGGCCCTCGTGTGTGTGTGTGTGTGTGTGTGTGCGTGTGTGTGTGCGCGTGTGTGCGCGTGTGTGTGCGCGTGTGTGTGTCACAAGGACCCCAAGAGGTGTCTGAGAGAGACCTTCTTCCAGCCTCCTCAGGACCACACTCCGATGGGAGAGAGGGGTGTGTTCAGATCTCCATCATCAAGCTCAAGTGTAGAGTTGGAGGCACGTCCAAGGCTGCTTCCTCATCTCTGGCGACTGCAGCGGCCCCTCTTTCCTGGCCAAGGACCCCAGGTTGCACATGGAAGCACCTAGCACAGTGCCTGGCTCTGAGACCCCAGAGCAGGACTGTGTCTCCAGTTTTTACCAAGAAACAAGACTCACTCCCCCGGCACTGCCCCAGGACCTGTCCTTCCTGTGGACAGCAGAGAGCAGGGAGAAACCAAAACCCTCTGGGCTCGGTGCCTGGTATAGTCTCCTTGGGTTGCTAGGACAAACTGCCACCAGTTGGATGGCTTCAAACCAGAATGTGTTCTCTCACAGCTCTGGAGGCCAGGGTCAAAGCTATGGGGTCAGTAGGCTGGGTTTCTTTGGGAGGCTCTGAGGGAGAATCTGTCCCCAGCCTCTCCCCAGCCTCTGGGGGCTTAAAGGAGGTCCTTGGAGTCACCTGGCTCGTAGGCGTGTCACTCTGGACGCCGCTGCCACCATCGCGTAGCTTCTCCCCTCCGGGTCAGTGTCTCTGCGTTAGCGTTTTCTTCGTAGCCGGGCTCGGTGGCTCAGCCTGTCATCCGCGCCTTGGGAGGCTGAGGTGAGTGGACTGCCTGAGCCCGCCGGTTCGAGACCCGCCCGGGCAACTTGGCGAGCCCTCCTCTCTACCGTAAGTCAGAAAATCAGCCGGGGGTGGTGGCGCGCGCCTGTAGTCCCAGCTACTTGGAAGGCTGAGGCGGAAGGATCGCCGGAGCCCAGCGGGTCGAGGCTGCGGTGGACTTCAGTCTGGGCGACAGCGTGAGACTCCAACTCAAAAAAAAAAAAAAAAAATTCTTATAAGGACACCAGGCCAGGCACAGTGACTCATGCCTGTAATCCCAGCACTTTGGGAGGCTGAGACAGAAGGATCGCTTGAGCCCAGGAGTTCAAGACCAAATGGGCAACATAGCAAGACCTCATCTCTACAAATAAATCAAAAAATTAGTCGGACATGGTGGCTGTGGTCCCAGCTATTTGGGAGACTGAGGCAGGAGGATGGCTGAGGCAGGAGGATGGCCTGAGCCCAGGAAGTTGAGGCTGAGGTGAGCCGTGCTCGTGCCACTGCACTCCAGCTTGGGTGACAGAGTGAGAGACTCCAACCAAAAAATTAATTTATTAATCAATAATTTTTAAAGAGGCCTACCCTAACCCAGTTAAGACCTCATCTTTACCTTCCTAAATAATAACCCGATTTCCAACTAAAGTCATGTTCTTAGGTTCCAGGTGGACATGAACTTGGGGAAGGGGGTACTATTCAACCCATGACTCCCCTCCTCTCAATGCCTTGAGTGATGACAAGCACTCCTTCTTCTGGAAGAGCTACCACCTTTCTAGAAGAGCTAACAGTAGACATGGTGGACCTCTGTGGCACACCTACCAAGTGCCAGGCCCTGCACTTGGACTTGACACATGACCCTTACCTTGCTAAAGTCTCACCCCAGTCTGTGGCGGTCAACACTATTTATACCTTTCAGTTTACAGAAGAGGAAACTGAGGCATGGGCCACTTAATCCACTCGCCCAAGGTTGCTGAGTGAGAAAGAGGCAGAGCTGGGCTTTGAACCTGGATGTCTCCAGAGCTCCTAGGCACCACCCCAGTGGTCTTGCCAAGCCATCAGAGCCCAAAGGCGGGACTGGGTGGGGGTGTCTGAGGAAGCCCAGCTGGTGCAGGTGACAGGCATTGACGCGGCTTCTCTCTCTCACCACAGGCCCGGTACCCCCAGTTAATCAGCAGAGTGAGGGGACGGGGCACCTTCTGCTCCTTCGACACTCCAGACGAATCCATACGGAACAAACTCATCTTAATCGCCAGAAACAAAGGTGAGGGGCTCAAGTGGGTGAGGGGCTCCACCGGGTCCAGCATGGCCTGATGTGGGCAGAGTATTGCCAGGTGGGGAGGGGGCATAAAGATAGCCTGAAAGATCTTTCTCAAAAGAAGAGAAAGGCACAGTGAAGGAGACCCTTCCTCCAGGAAGCCTGCAGTCAGGGGAAAGGGGTGACAGCATTTCCCAAACATCCCTCTGCCATGAGAAGTCGTGGGAGGACGGGAAGAAGCAAAAAGGGAACAGCTGGGGAAGCTGTCCAAGCCAGGAAGTCAGAGAAGGCTTCCCTGAGGAGGTGGCATTTTACCTTAAGTCTTAACAGATGAACAGTGACTGGCCACATGAGGAAGAGCCTTCTGGGCAAGAGGAAGGACGAGTGCAGGGAGGAGTGTACAGAGGTGGAGAAGTGGGAGAAAGAGAGCTCGCTGGAGGCCCCTGTGGGGGTGGAGCTGGGGGGGGGGGGGCTGGGGGGGGGGCTGCCAAGCCCACAGCTGCTGATCAGGTTCGCAGTCCAGACTGTGTCCTGAGAGCTAGGGGACACTCGAAGTTCAGGTGCAGAGTGCTGGGTTTGTGGATGGAGCACCCACTGTGTGTCGAGCACAGTGTCAGGCCTGCCCGTGCCATCTCCTAGTCCCTGTGGCAGCCTCGAAAGAGCAGGGATAATTAACCTCCTCCTCAGATGAGAAAATGTCGTCTCAGAGATGCTCACAGCCCAGACAGGGACGCCCAGCTGGGCGCAGGGGCTCAAGCCTGTAATCCCAGCACTTTGGGAGGAGGCCAAGGCAAGAGGATTGCCTGAGCTCAGGGGTTCAAGACCAGCCTGGGCCACTTGGTGAGGCCTCATCTGTACAATCAATCAAAAAATAAGCCAGGCACCGTAGCACATGCCTGTAGTTCCAGCTACTTGGAAGGTTGAGGCTGCGGTGGCCGTGAGCATGCCATTGCACTCCAGCCTGGGTGACAAAGTGAGACTCCAACTAAAAATAAGATAAAATAAAATAAAATGAACAGGGTGTCCCTTTCCAGTGCAGGTGGCTTCCGAATCAGCCTGGAATGTACTTGTGCGCCCTTTTGCTTTTCCCACCCTCTGTGGCTTTCTGGAAGGCTTGGACTCTACCTTAAGATATCTCTCTCGCCAGACCCAGTTCAGGGCAGCAGAGCTATCAGAGCTGGGAGGGGGGAAGTGAGGGAGGGGAGTCATGGCTGGAAGGATAGAGGAAGGAAGGACGGGCAGAGGCCTGGGCAGGAGGCATGGCGTCGGGCGTCTGAGGGCGGTCGGCAGTGTCTGGCCCTTCCAGCCCTCTTGGCGCGCGACCCCAGAGCCCAGCCCCTGACCCGCTTCCCGCCTCTCCTTCCAGGTGTGGTGTTGGGAGGCTGCGGCGACAAGTCCATCCGCTTCCGTCCCACGTTGGTCTTCAGGGATCACCACGCTCACCTGTTCCTCAACATCTTCAGCGACATCTTGGCAGACTTCAAGTAAAGAAGCCGTTTATTTCTGCTACACTCTGAGAAAGCCCTGATCTCAACAGTTGTCCAATTGATTAGTTTGCCTAATTCATGTTTTCACTTAAAAAGTGTCAGAGGTAAAGGCATCAAGCGAGGGTTATTTGTGGGGAGGGACTGTTTCTGGTGGCGTGGGGGGGGCTGAGCTGACGTTCCCCCTGCAGAGCTAGGGGAGTACGCTGGCTGATGCCCCGAGATTCCACTTGAGCCCTGGACATCGTCTTGGGACGGACCGTGAGGTTCCTGGCCATATTTCTGCCCACACTCGACCAACCCCAATGAGTCTTTGGAGGCCAGTCAAGGGAGTCACACCTGCTCCTGGGACTGGTGGCCGGACCCCCTGGGTTCCATTCCATCTGGAGTGCCATATTCTGTGATCAAGAACACTGGCTTCCCCTCCCCTACGCACGCCAACACCCTCACCTCCTCACCCAGCCCCAGAGCTCTGGGCACACCCTACGATCACTTCTCAAGGGACTGGATGGATGGTCGGGAGGCAGTCAAGGAGGAACATGAGGATGCACTCTGGGGTGGGGGCAGGGGTTTCTGCCCCCCGGGACTAGGACCACCCCTCAGCACCCTGGAGATTCCTCTCCACTGGGAATTCTGGCCCTCGGGGGACCTCCAGCTGGCATCACCGATGGTTCCTATGTGACATCCTCCATCCCCAAACTCTGTCCTCCCTTAAATGTCAGCCTAGTCCTGAGCAGGAGGAAGTCATTCTGAGGCCCACAGGGACACACGAGGCCAGGGTCTGGGCAGCGGCACCACTCCATCCTGCCTCCCAGGGCACCTGGGATCTGACTTCTGGGCCCCTCGCCCTGGGAGGCTCTTTCTCTCCCTTTCGCTTATCCAGCCTTCGCCCCTGTCCTGGCAGACCCCTGAGCTGGGTGGGGTTTCTTCTTGAGGGAAGAGCCATGAGTTCAAGTCGTCTGAGCTCCGTGCGGTTCAAGGTGGTTTCCTTGCGCTCGACCCTCCCCAAGTTAGATCTTTTCCTGATGTGACAGAGAGTGATGACAATACTGAAATGTTTAATTGGGCTGTAGCTGAGGCTACAGTGTCTCCGCTGGAGGCCAGACCTTCGGGAGCTGATCTGACCTCAGGTGCTCCTAAGACAAGCACTAAATAGTTGGACAGCCATGGAGCACGACTCGGTGGGTAGACTGAGAAAGGCTGGCCTATGCTCTCTGTCCAGAAGGAAGCCACTTCCTCTCCTGGGGCCCTGGTTGACTGTTCTGGAAGATGGGCATAACCAGCTTCCTGATTCAGCACTTTGCTCTTTTAATATTATCCAAAGATCTCAAAGTGGGGTTTTTTTTTTTTAAGCTTCCACCTCTCAGCAGACTTGGTCATCGACCTACTTTTTTTGAGGAATGAAAGGTGCTGATGTGTGTCAAGTGGACAGATCCATGAATTCTGGTTCACCTTGCATTCCCACAGTCAGCACTAATCCGTCACTTTTAATGAGTCCTGCCATGGTTACAGCCATGCGCGTTGCCAGAAGAGATGTACACCTCCCTCTCTTGGCAAGGTTTCACTCGTTTGTTTATTCATTTACGCATCATTCATTCTTCCAACTTCCATTAAATGCCTGCATTATCCCAGGCCTTGTGCTAAGTCCCAGGAATACAAAGACAAGAGAAGACGCAGGGCCTGCTCTCGGGGTCACATCCCATTGGAAACAACAGACTTCAAGTCAACCAAGCCGAGTGGCAAGTGCTATAACAGAGGCGCGTGTAAGAGCATCAGGAAATCAGAGGGAGAACCACAGGCCCCCTAAGGGTCAGAGAAGTTCAGTGAGAAGAGAGCATTGGAGCAGGGTTTTGCAGATGAACAAAAGTTCACCAAACAGATAGGGCAAGGAAGGGTGTGGCAGAAAGGGGACGGCACTTGCAGAGGCACCTCAGTTCGTGGCCTCTCACCATTCCCTGGGGAGCCAGAGTCCATAGGCAACATCCCAAGGTTCAAGGCCTTATTCACAAACAAGCAAAATGCAAACCAAACCACGATTCATGTACTAGCTGAAGTATGCCAATATTCAATAAGGTTCTTGGAGTCCAGAAGGTTCGAAGCCAGGGAACAACCAGAAACTGGGCTCTCTTCGGTGGAGAGAGTGCCACCAATATTTTGTTCTCTTTCCCACGGGGCACTGACAAGGAAATGAAATTGTCTGGTCTGGAAAAGCACTTCCAGACTTCTTATTCACTCCTTACCAAGGGAAGTTACTTATTGTAAAACTTTTAAAGCCATTTATCAACAAGTTCTTGTTGACTCAGGGCATAATGAGTTCCTGAGACATCTTCTTTTGGGAGGTGGGGATTTAGCTGGAAAAATTTCAAGGAAAAGAATTCTCAGCAGAGCTCAAGACCAGAAGCGCGGAAGATGTTGGTGAAAATGCGGGGAGCCCAGCGGACAGGCTACTGTCCAGGGCAGAACCCACGGAGAAGTCCATCTGCGGCTGGCCGATGGTCCGGAAATTGCTCCATTATACATTAGTGCCATAGAGTTTAGTAAATGTCTAGCAAGTCTTGTCACTTTTACAGAAAACAAGGTCCAGTAATAGCAAGTCTTAGCACATCCTCACTTTTATTATAAATGGGTGTTTTTTTATAATTTTTACTGACACTCAGTAACCATGCAGAATTGTACACAGCCTTACTATGTCCACGTATCTATACCTATCTATATCTCTATAAATCAGTTCATGGTAGAAAACCGTACTAGGGACCATCGCAGACTCACACATACAAAGTGAGCTTGTTTACAGTATTCTGTTGACAGTGCCAATACATGATACAGAAATTAACATGTCACAAAGTAACTGATGACCACATGCATAATTCCATGAATTAAATCTGTTTCTTGTGTTAATTAGTATTCTTAAATTTAAAAAATATTTATAATGGAAACATCAGAGTGAATGTGGACTTTTTTGGGGTAGAAACGGTTTTGTTAAATAATTATTTAATGAGTACTTATTAAGCACCTACTGTATGCCTCGAGAATGTCTTGGGGGAACACTCTCCCTGCATAAGTCAGCCTTGGGCTCAGGAAGCACCATGAGGCCATTCCTTTCATTAAGTAAACTGAGAGCAAGCCATGGGGCAGGTACTCAGGGGTGGACAAGGTGTGGTCCCTGCTTGAGGCTCACAGTCCAGCAAGGTAAAGGTCATGACAACTCAGGGAAGGACCAGGACCCGGGGAGACACAGGATGCTGCAGACACACAAAGGCAGCCAGGGGGAGTTCAGCCTAGAGTCTTATCTTCAAAGCTAATCAGGAACACTCCTGTAGGATGGAGGATTTTCCAGAACACGGGGAGAGCCAGATGAAGGTGGGGCAGGCTGGCAGCTCTGAGGAGCTCGGTATTATTACTAGGTCACAACAGGAGGGGGAGACCAGACACACCTGAAGACAGGCCGGGGCATGGCAGGACTCCATCCAAGAGAGTCCATGCTGGTGATGGAGCCCCTGAAAGTTGGGAGCAGGGAGTCATCCGAATGGCATTTTAGGATGATCCTGAGTGTTCACTGGGAAGTGCAGGGAGGCAGGACAATGGCCTGAGGGCCTGGACTAGGACCATCATGGGACGAAGAGCGACAGAATCTAAAACATGCAGGACAGAGATTCTCAGCACTGAATGTACTTAGGAATCACCCTGAAGAGCTCTTCTAAAAATCCTGGCTGGGTGCAGCAGCTCACACCTGCAATCCCAGCACTTTAGGAGGCCGAGGTGGGAGGATCATTTGAGGCCAGGAGTTTGAGACCAGCTTCGACAACATATCAAGACTCAGTCTCTGCAAAGATAAAAAATTTAAAAACTAGCCAGGCATGGTGGCACACACCTATAGTCCCAGCTACTCATGAGGCTGAGGCAGAAGGATCGCCTGAGCCTCGGATTTGGAGGCTGCAGTGAGCCACTGCACTGCAGCGTGGGCGACAGAGCAAGACCCTATCATCAAATAAATTAAAATGTTCTAACGGTTTGGGCCCCTAGCCCAAACCAATTAGATCAGACTCTCTAGATTGCTGACTGGAATAAACTGGCAGGCAGAAGTAGCGTGGGGAAGGCGCTGGGGGTGCTGGCATGAGGAGGCGTTGGTTCTTCCAGGCTCCCAGTGTCCTGACCTGGGCCCAAATCTGAGGCCTGTCTCACCCACCGATGCTCCACAGCCCTCGGTAGCCCTCACTTGTCTCAACGGTAGGACCTGTGGTTGGGACTACCCACATCCAAGGTTCCTCCCATCTCTGACCCCCACCAGGTCTATGAATCCACACTTGCCTTGGAAGGCAATAGTTACCATTCAAGATGATCATTAAGTATCACATCTAAATAATGATAGTGATCACGTGTTGAGCCATTTCTGTGTAAACATGCTGTTGGTGCTTTTAGTTTTCACAACCCTTTGAGGCATGTACAGTAGTAAGTCTTCATTTAAAGTTGTTGATTGGTTCATAGTAAAACCGATTCTTTTTCCTCATCAACGTTCTTACAAACATTATTTGAGGACCTGCCGGACATTGTCTTACTTGCAGTTCAAGTTTTTTCTTTTTTTTTTTTTTTTTTTTTTTGAGTTGGAGTCTCACTCTGTCGCCCAGGCTAGAGTGCAGTGGTATGCTCATGGCCACTGCAACCTTGACCAGCTGGGCTAAGGTGATCCTTCCACCTCAGCCTTCCAAGTAGCTGGAACTATAGGCATGCACCACCACGCCTGGCTAAATTTTTGATTTATTGTTGAGATGAGGTTTCACCAAGTTGCCCAGGCTGGTCTTGAACACATGGGCTCAAGCAATCCATCCGCCTCAACCTTCCAAGTAGCTGGAACTACAGGCATGCACCACCACATCAAGCTAATTTTTTGATTTATTGTAGAGAAGAGGACTTGCCAAGTTGCCCAGGCTGATCTCGAACCTGTGGGCTCAGGCAACCCCTCACCTTGGCCTCCCAAAGTGCTGGGATTATAGGCATGAGCCACCACACCTGTTCCAGTTTTCAAGAACCTACCGCGACATGCAGTGAGGACTGACTGACTGTCCTTGCATGTCTGTTATTAATGTGAAGAAACTTAAGCTTGAAGGTCAAGGGAAACTGTATGAACTCACACAGCTTAGAAGTCCAGATCTGATGCACACACACTGATGTGTAGACAAATGTGTGTGCGTGCATGCACATACCTGCAGTCAGCTCAGGACTAGCTGAGGACAGGGACCATCAAACACTCAAGAAGCTCCCTCATGGCCAGCCTGGCCATGGGCCTTGGGAGGTCAATGTGACTCAGTCGGTATAAGTGTGAGCCCCAGAATGCACATTCCTGAGGCAGATGGGTTGAAGACGCCTGAGCTACAAGGTCCATGACTCTGTTAAAGAATCATTGCTTTCCATCTTCTGTCCTTCCCTGTAAGGAGGCAACAGGAGGCGGTGAAGTCACCTAGCTCTGCTCCTTCTTCTAGCTGGGTGACCTCAGACAAGTCACTTCACCTCTCTGAGCCTCATTCTGCAAAAATGAGGATAATTAAGGCCAGGCATGGTGGTTCACACCTGTATCCCAGCGCATTAGAAACCAGAGGCAGGAGGATCTTTTGAGCCCGGGAGTTCGAGACCAGCCTGGGCAACATGGCGAGACCCCCTTCTCCACAAAAAATTTAAAAGTTAGCAGGTGTGGTGGCTCATGCCTGTAGTCCTAGCTATGCTGGGGACTGAGGCAGGAGGATCCTTTAAGCTAGGAGGAAGGGGCTGCAGTGAGCTATGATCACACCATTGCACTCCAGCCTGGGCAACAGAATAAGTAAGATCCTATCTTCAAAAAAAAGAGGAAATAAAGGATGATTAGAGCAACATGTCTTGAATGCTTGCCTGGACCAAGTGCTATTTGGCAGGGCTGGGGTTCAAGCAAGCCAGAAGTCTGCCTTCAGAAGTCAGCGCTTCCCTGTGGCGCACAACTGCCTCCCTGGGGCTCTCCTTGTGTTGCTGGCGGGGTTAAATGCAATCATGTAATGATTGCCTGGCACATAGTAGGTGTTTAATGTATGGTAGTTTCACTGCCTCTTCTCCATGGCTGAGTGCGTCTCATACACAATTCTAAACAATATTATTTCTTCACCATTGAGTTCCTACTCATCAGTAGAAAATCTACTTCCTACCACAGGTACAGGCCCAGCTGAATCTGGGAGTATATTTCAACTGTTAATCAGTAAAATGCATGTTTTGTTCCTCAAGATGGTACAAACACGGCCAGATGGTAGTCGGCACCACCCGATTAACCCTAATCAGGCAAGATTTTACAGTTGAATGCCGCAGGATCAAAACAAGGCCATAAAAGTTGGACTCTGCCTGGAGTTCAAAGGGGCCCTGCTGCTTTCCGTTTAGGAACTTGTGAGCCCAGAAGTCATAAAGCAGTGACAGAGAGAAAACTACCACCCCTAGTTTTGTGGATAGCTCATTCCAGTCTGTCCCCTGCAAGCAGACATGCCTACCAAGTCTGCTCTGGGGAGTGCATGAAACGCAGTTATTTAATGGTGGGGTGGGCAAGGCAATAGACATCTGGCCCCATGACAAGGTCAGTCCCGTTTGTGGTAACTAGTGTAGGAAGGACAACAGCCACCACTGGGCTGTGCCTTCTTCTCCATGTGCAGATGACTGTCACATGCCAGCTGACCACCCTGTCCCCTGCACTTAAGTCCAGACGGTTCTCAGCAGACAGGAAGGCAAGCTACTCTGCAGGCGACCCATGTGGTGACATCATGGATGTTTTTCAATGACTGCAGTCTCCTGTCTACACAGCTTCTGGGCCCAGAATCGGAATTCACGCTTGAGAAACTTTCTTCTTGGCCTAGAAAGCTAGCAGGAGGAGTAAGGAATGAAAGACTGTTTTTGTTACAGTGTCTGTCTTTATGCAAGATGAACGACATGCTCATTGTGAAAATTTTAAACAATTCTAGGTTATAAAGTTGAAAGTGGAAAACTGTCTCAACCACCCTGTCACCCCCAATGCTCTCCCAAAGAAAGTAACCATTGTTTTTTTTTTTTTTTTTTTAGACAGCAGGATTTATCAAGAGGACAGAAAAGCCAGGTGCAATGGCTCAAGCCTGTAATCCCAGCACTCTGGGGGGCTGAGGCGAGAGGGGCCGAGGCGAGAGGATTGCCTGAGCCCACAGGTTCAAGACTAAAATAAATTTTTTTTATTTTTTATTTTTTTTGAGTTGGAGTCTCACTCTGTCGCCCAGACTGGAGTGCAGTGGCTGCTCCCGGCCACCGCAGCCTCGACCTGCTGGGCTCTGGCGATCCTTCCGCCTCAGCCTTCCAAGTAGCCGGAATTATAGGCGCGACTACCACGCCCAGCTGATTTTTTGATTTATTGTAGACATGAGGTCTCGCTGCCC